CAGATCAAAATGGATGTACCCGTAAAACCGGTCGACAGTCGACGACTTCCGATGAGAATGACCGACAAATCTCTTCATCAAACTTTCCCTCGCGACGATAGTGTGGAAGGCAGAGACGCAAAGCTCGAGTCCACCAGAAGACGATGGTGGATCTCTCTCGGTTGGTGTGTCTTACCGGCGCTGTCGTAGAAACAATGTGCCTCGATTCCGGTGCCAATGTGGCTCGCTTTTGTCTGTCATGTGATGAATATCATCAGAAGAGAGCATCGTTCGTACAGACATGCTCAAGCTAACTAGTCTCTAAACGCTGAAGATATGCATTTTCCTGAGGTGTACAGAGGTTTGCTTACTTGTAAGTGACATGCCAATCTGGAAGTGTGTGTGTGTGTGTATGTTTGTGGCTTTATATGAAGGCTGATGCACAAAACCAGCAATGATAGCCTCGCCTAATTGGAACAGAGGGCGACATCTGTCCCTGGCCATCAACCGACCGACAGCTTGTCACGAGGAGTCTGCCGTTGACGTCTGTCGTGGTTGACCTTCAAGGCTCTTCATCAGACACACCTTCACTCGAAATGGAAGTGAGCACAACAACGGCAATCCAATGAGTGTGCGCCAGGCCGGTGTGAAGGGAGTGTTTGCGAGTCCCCTCGGCCAGTGGGGCTAGAAGTACAATGAAGCGCCCGTCGGGCCACATTCTGAACAAACTGGTACGAAGAAATTGGCGCCATTTTGCCATTTGATCTGGCATGGCTTCAAACAAGGCGAAAAGGAGACTCCGTTCAAGGTGCTCTACAGCATTTCCTAATTTATTCATCTAATTTACTTGGAAAATTGAACGGAGCAACCAAATGTCCTGGCACGAAGTTGGAACCATGCCGCGAACGACACAGAAACGACCAACTGCGAGTGAACTCTGCGAATATGGACTTTGAAGAGTCGACATGCGTCTCAGACATTCTGATGCATTGGATTTCACCTCATCAGGTATCTTGATGATTTAAAAGCAAAAGTGACTACTAACTGCTTTCATCAGTAGCATATCGAGTGCAATGGCGAATAAACTGTTGACTATCGATATGGGCTAGACAGCAAAATGCTGTAGGTTGGAGAGGTTTGTTTTGGCCTTAAAAGCATATACAAAATGAGACTAGGTTTGTGTGGCCGAATAGCAGATCCGTTTGCCTCCGAACCAATAATGTTATAAGAAATGATATTTATATAGTGCATATATAAATATGTATGAATACATATTTATATAATATATACTAATATAAATATATATATTACACATTAATATATATACAATATTTAAAGGCATATTATATATATATATATATATTAGTTACATGTGATTTATAAATCTAAACAAAAATAAATATTATATTCACAAGTAAAATGTAAATGTATATTATTTCTATATTTCTATATTATTTTTAAATATAATGTAATATAACTAGGCCTGTATATAAATGGGGATGTGGTATGAATACATTTTTAGTAAAGCTGGCCGGGAGGTAACTCATTTTGCTTTCCATTGCATTTATTGATAGAGCTTGCTCATTTATATTCATTTAAAGTAGCATTCTAGGGTAAGCTAAATGTAATTCATTGGTATCTTAAGACCTACTCATCAGAATGTTGGAAAAACTCAAAGACCACACCTTAAATCACTTTGGACGATTTATGGTGACCAATCACTTACTCAAGATTTACTGATAATATCTAAAACTAATTATGACGAAAATAAGTAATGCAGGTGCATCCCTAGGTCTTGTGCCAATTCGAGTGAGAGACCTACATCA